CGTGCGAGACCATGTATGGTGTGGTTGTGTGTGTGTGTGTGTGTGTTGGTGCGTGCGGTGTGCTGTAGTGGTTGCGTGTGGCGCGTGTGGGTATGTGTGTGTGTGTGTGTGCGCCGGTGCGTGCGTGCGTGCCGTGTGTGGTTTCGGACTGTGTTGTGTGATGTGCCGGCCGTGCGTAGCGCTCACCGAGCTAACCGTGTGTGTGGTGTGTATTGTGTGTGATTGTGGTGTGTGTGTGATCGATTAACAGAAGAGTAAGGGGATCTGGATGGACATAAGTAATTGAGGGCATCAACGACTGATGATTTACATGAATGTTTAAATTGCCGACGCAGTTTGAATGTATTCGCTCTTTTTGTGCGTGGCGTCGCGTGTACAGAGCATAATTAATATTAGAGTTTGTATTTATTGGCTACTGAACAAATTGTATATATAGAAATCGTAATACCTAGTGAAGGGAGCAAACGAGCTAGTGCGGGTAGTGGAAGAGCTATTGAGTGTAGGGGAAGAACTATGCGGTATTTCGACGCGAGAGATTTCCACGCACTAACGCCATCCATGCTTAATAGATGCTTAATCGATGAACTCTCTGTCACACATACGCACCTTACTTGAGCCGAGTCCTGATGTTAAGGTCAATCCAGGGTGTGAGAATAAGATCGTTGTCCAGTTTAATTACACACGAGAAAACTCGCTATCGATGATACACATAACATGTCCAGTGCATTACACGCTATGAGTAATAGCTCTCACTTACACCGCAGATATTATACATCTAAGTGATAGCGAGCACAAAGATAACGGTAAAAAAGCACGCGGGGACTTATACCCCGTACAGACTACGAATTTGATATGGTATTAAACTAGAAACTAGAATCGCGTGTGTTTAGCAGCCAACTCTTCATCGGTCCATGTGACACCACGAAGAATTAGGTTGGAATTAGCAGATTATATATTTTTTTCTGGTAAAAATATCAAGCCGCGTCCATCGAAGAAACCGAGGTGTCCTTACATCGCATCTGTGACAAGAGTATCTCGATTATTCATCTATACGAGCCGACGTTAAGACGTGTGTGTTTTGGCGGAAAGTAGAAAATAGTGCAGTCAAGGACGCGTTACCTAGCCCATTGCCGCGAATCCATTGTTATGAGTCCATGCAGTGATGTGTCAGTCTGTGGGCAAACTTTCCCAATATATTTCGGCTGAAATCTGAGAATTTATCAAACGGTTGCTGCTTTCCGAGTAAACTGGATTAGATTTAATTACTCGTCGTGGCGCCTGAATGTTCTGGCTGGGTCGCGCTCGTGCGTGACTGCATGATGTGTCGTGACTGAACTTTGCATAACCCATGCATGCACTGCAGCCATTGATTACACACTCGCGCGCGTGTCGTACGTGCGCACGTGTTTAATATTATTAAAATCATTTAGTAAAGAAGCTGACGTATGTTACGTACCATGCATTGTTTGCCCGGGTCGGGCGAGTGAATTATGGTTCTATTTACTAAATACTAGAAATATTAGCAAAAAAGTGGGAGATTCGTAATGACTAGACATGATGTGTTCAAGGNGTGTGTGTGTCGTGTGTGTGTGTGTGTGTGTGTGTGTGTGTGTGTGTGTGTGTGTGTGTGTGTGTGTGTGTGTGTGTGTGTGTGTGTGTGTGTGTGTGTGTGTGTGTGTGTGTGTGTGATACAGAGAGAAGGGGAATCTGATGAATAAGTAATTGAGGCAGTCACCGACTGAATGATTTAATGAATGTTTAAATGCGCGACGCAGTTTGAATGTATTCGCTCTTTCTGTGCGTCGTCGCGTGTACAGAGCGATAATAATGATAGGAAGTTTGTATATTATGGACTACTGATATTGTATATATAGAAATCGTAATACCTAGTGAAGGGAGCAAACGAGCTAGTGCGGGTAGTGGAAGAGCTATTGAGTGTAGGGGAAGAACTATACGGTATTTCGACGCGAGAGATATCCACGCACTAACGCCATCCATGCTTAATAGATGCTTAATCGATGAACTCTCTGTCACACATACGCACCTTACTTGAGCCGAGTCCTGATGTTAAGGTCAATCCAGGTTTTTTACCGTTATCTTTGTGCTCGCTATCACTTAGATGTATAATATCTGCGGTGTAAGTGAGAGCTATTATACTCATACCGTGTAATGCACTGGACATGTTATGTGTATCATCGATAGCGAGTTTTCTCGTGTGTAATTAAACTGGACAACGATCTTATTCTCACATGACTGCACTATTTTCTACTTTCCGCCAAAACACACACGTCTTAACGTCGGCTCGTATAGATGAATAATCGAGATACTCTTGTCACAGATGCGATGTAAGGACACCTCGGTTTCTTCGATGGACGCGGCTTGATATTTTTACCAGAAAAAAATATAATCTGCTAATGCCAACCTATAAGTCTTCGTGGTGTTACATGGACCAATGAAGAGTTGGCTGCTAAACACACGCGATTCTAGTTTCTAGTTTAATACCATATCATATTCGTAGTCTGTACGGGGTATAAGTCCCCGCGTGCAGGACGCGTTACCTAGCCCATTGCCGCGAATCCATTGGAGTCCATGCAGTGATGGTCTGTGGGCAAACTTTCCCAATATATTTCGGCTGAAATCTGAGAATTTATCAAACGGTTGCTGCTTTCCGAGTAAACTAGATTAGATTTAATTACTTGTTTGTCGTGGCGCCTGAATGTTCTGGCTGGGTCGCGCTCGTGCGTGACTGCATGATGTGTCGTGACTGAACTTTGCATAACCCATGCATGCACTGCAGCCATTGATTCCACACTCGCGCGCGTGTCGTACGTGCGCACGTGTTTAATATTATTGAAATCATTTAGTAAAGAAGCTGACGTATGTTAGGTACCATGCATTATGCTTGACCGGGTTGAGCGAGTGAATTATGGTTCTATTTACTAAATACTAGAAATATTAGCAAAATGTGGGAGATTCATAATGACTAGACATGATGTGTTCAAGGCATGGTATAATTTGCCAGTCCCCATTGCTCGCGACATCTACAAAGGATACTATCTATAGTGTTCATAAATGGATGACTGACTATATTGTTTCATGCTAATTTGTTTGTGTTAATAAAAGTGGGTAAATAAACAATAGCTAAATAACGTCTCATAGCCTCCCCGTATTTATAGCTCAATACACCCACCTGCTCCACCCACCGGCATGAATAATGAACAGTGCCTTAGAGCTGTTACTTTAGAGAATCAATACAATTTATGCTCTGTATTCAATAATGGTTTTCTATAAACATGTGTAATCGTTGCTGACTTCGCTGGTAACGGGTTAATTATTTACACGTTATCATAATAATAGTTATAATAATTTTGTAGATTTGACAGATTTGTTGTGTTTCGTATATATATATATATATATATATATATAATGTGTGGGTGCGCGCGTTTGCGTGGTGTGTTTACATTCAACTTTCCCAATACCGACCAACCCCAGAACCGTCCATTTAGTTCGGCTTTGAGGGCGTTCGGAATTTGGAGAGTTTACTATGTATAGGTGAAAAATCGTTGTATTAAGGTGTTTTCGCTTCTTATTACGGTCGTTTAATGCATTGTCAGTACAACTCGTGATATATTGGGGGTATGAAGCATTACTGTCGTGAAATATAAACAGTACAGCAGGTATAATCTAGTTCATGATTATTCGTTTCATGTGTATATACAATTTTTCACATTTTGTCACCGATCAGTTCACTTACAATCACAGATGTATATTTTGTCGACTTTCGTCTCGTTTATGAATGTAGGTCTGCGGATCTGCATTTCTTTCGATCAAAGAAAGGTGTAGGTGCAGTTTAAGATTTGGCACGGCTGTCATAAAACCAAGGAGAGTATCAGAATCCGCGAACGCATTACTAGAAAGGATGTTGCCGTCACGCACATAGCATCAACAAGTTTATGTTACTATCGCGAACAGTCGCTCATACAAATCGGTGATCTACCATTTATACAAAGTTTCCTGATCACCCTCATTAACTTGCATCATCTAAGCATAGAAGATGCAGACAAGATTTGGTAACGCGTTCTTCTTCAGAACGTGGCACGCTATACGGCGTATACGCACATACACACACGCGCGCACGTACGCACGCACACACGCACGCACACACACACACACACACACACACACACACACACACACACACACACACACACACACACACACACACACACACACACACACACACACACACACACACACACACACA